CCACACCTTAGGGGAAGCCTGTCTGCAAATCAATCATCTTTGTCTGGATAGAAAGTTTAACATCAGTGATAAGCTTGGAACTTTYAGTCAGAGGCACCTTACTTCCATGTGTAGTAAGAAAGAAATTTCTTATTCAATACACATTTTGCATTATCTGACAAGTCAGAATAAGGTTGAAAAACTGCATTGAATAAGAGCAACACAAACTTGTGACAGACAAAGCAAAGGCGAAATAAATATAAGCATTGTTCCAGGCTTAAATAACAAATTATTGTTATAAAAATATATTACAAAAATTCTTGTCAGTGTAAACAGAAATTATTAAAAATGTTTAGTCTTTGGCTGATATGTAAATTACATGTAATTGCTGATATATAAATTAATTTTATCATTCATTTATATTCTTTTAAATTTATTAAATATTTGTACTTTTTGAATTCTAAAATSCATTTAATGAAATTTATGACTATGAATTTGTTTATATATACTGCATTTAATTTTTTTAATATGTTTATTTTTACTCAATGAATACACAGCAATTTATTTGATACTCTTTTTCTATTTTTACCAAATTGATATAGAACATTCAATTTGTTTTTATTTTTATCAAATTACAGTAGGCTCAGAACAAAAGGAGCTAATTTTAACTTGAAAAAGAGAACTGATGTTGTTTTAATATTGTGAAATTAAATTAATGCGACAAACTGGAAATGTGCCATTCTTAAAGTGTGACAATAGTTCAAAGTGTTTCAGAACTTCAGTTTAAGTTTAAGGTTTATGTCAAAAACTTTAGGTACATGTAGTGATGGGAAAAAAGGAAATCTATGTCATATCAGGCATTTGCTACTGCATCTTTCATTTATCTCCTGATTATATCTTACAGTAATCAGTTACTTATTYTGTATTTACTTCATCTAAAAATAATCTGACAGTCACTAATCATGAGCTACTAATAAGTTTGTCATATCTAGAACTGGATGGCTAATTTTTTAGTTGTTTTTAGACAACTAAAACTGGTAAAACTGCTACTGAACTACTAAATGCAATAATTATAAGTWAATTAGTCAGATAGGAATAAAGGATTGACAATATCTACACACATATAAACTTAGTAACATTAAAGCTATATTGTGATGATATCTTACATGTATCAGTTACTCACCTGTATCCTGTATTGATTGAATCTAGAAGTACACAAAAGGTAAGTATTTCACTGTAGACAGGTGTTAGTATATGAGAGTTGAGCATAATGTGAGAAATTAGTATGTGGAATACCAACCACAGATGGGTTGGTAATCTCCAAAGCAAAAAGGCTTAATTGGTTGATTGTGGGATGGGTATGGGTATAGGCCAATCTTTGTTTACGTATTTCACTGTAGATAGGTGTTAGTATAAGAGTTTATCATGATAAGACCAATTAGTATGTGGAATGCCAACCACAGATGAGGTGGTAATTTTCAAATAAAGCATGCGTCCAAAACGTCAGTAAGTTTTTTCATCTTTTCACGGCGTATAATTTACCTTTTCATCATTACTGTTTCATTAGAAACACCGACGCAGCTCACACTAGTTTTTAGCTAGTTATATCTTTTTATTTCAATGTAGGAAAAGACCAGGCCAAGTTAGCATTGCAGTGCATTGGAAGAATGTTTTAGGGGACAAAAAAGACACCATTTTGAAAACATGGCCCTTAAAACAGTCCCTTAATGGAAAATACTGTAATGCCAACTCGAGCTGGTCTTCAGAATGGCTAACACCTGTTTTGTATCTTGATAGCACAAATTTCAAATTTCATCAAACATTGTACAGTAATTGTCCTYCACCTAAATATGAGTAAAAAGTAGCCAGTTTATTTCTCATTAAGCTGAAGGTTCCAATAATCACATCTCTGGTGGAAAGCAACTTATTTGTTGACACTGAAATATAGTGTYTGGATCATTTGTAATTTCCCAAAATCTAAATTTCCTCTACTTTTGAAAGGAGTACAAAACCAAAACAATTGAATGATGTAATTTTCAAAAGGACAAAACAGTTTAGGGGAAAATGGATACGTGTCGCTAATGTGACTTGGGTTTGATTCATGGGCTCAATGTCATATACGAGTAGAGCTATTTTTAGGTTCTCTCCTGTGCTTTAAGGGTTTTTTCTCTGGGTTCTTCAATTTTTCCTTTTCCACAAAAATCAATTTCTAAATTCTAATTTAATCTCAGCTACCTTATCTTTTTTTTTCCTGGATGCCTTATCATTTGGGTTGCAAAATCTGTTACGCATGACATCATTATTGCTTTAAGGGATATTTTTTCAGGGGTTCTCCAGTTTATAAAAAATATARTTCAGATTTCTTTTGGCATAGTAATGTAAATTTTTAACAATCTTTTTTGGAGTTGAAGTCAGTTTCTTTAYACTATGATAAAAACACAAAGCCTGTTTCATCAAACCACTGTCAAACAAAAAYATCTGTCTAATATTATCCAAATTGAAAAAGGAAACGAGGCAATTGTCAGCTTATTTATAGTAAAATCAATTATCAGCTAATATCAATGATGCTATAGAAACTATGCTATCAAACTTATAATGAATTATTAGAGTGATRAATTGAAGCCATGAAACAAAAAAATTGGAAAAACAAACCTGTAAAGTCAGCCAAATTCAATGTTACTTGATTTATATAATTTAAAACTAAGCGCGTTGTAAAGTACAGTATAACAATACATGTATATTAACTAAAAATACATGTGAACRAACTGGAACATCTGGATTGCCAATTATTTTTTGAAGCTTTTTACCTTAGGTAATTGCAGAATAACAATTGGAACTCTCATAGTAAAGTGATCAGCCTGTTTTATGTAATATGAACTGTATCATCATAGTCAAGCACAGAATTGAACTTGCAAAAATATACTGAACAATCTGTMTAAAAATATAATTATGTTCGTAGATGTACAGTTGTTGCTTTCAACACATTATGACATTGATCTAAGGATTGCATGTTATYATCTTCAAAGCGAAAATAGCTCCAAGCCATATRTTCTTCTCGTATTATTTCMGAACTTAATGAAACCCCTGAATATTTTCCATGCATGGTTTTGACTCAAAGTCCACTTACCAATATGATCAGCAAYGCACTTATGAACTTATAACTTATGACTTATTTCATTTCTTACCTCAATAATAATAGTACACCCAAGTGCAAATAATAGCAGTGGCTATATATATATATATACAATTATATAACACTGGGCAATGAAAATGAAAACTTCCCTCCCCCCTCTAATATCACTGCCAATTTCACTAACTTTTATCATTATCGCAAGATGTCTGCTGATTTTAAAAAAAACSTTTGAGGGCAAAATGTTACATTCATGACAAAACCTTGGGGAATTTTTTATGACYGCCAGGTAAATTTTAAAAAATCTAAAATTTCGATATTCATCTATCAAGTAAATTATTAAACTCTCCTGTTCAAGTTTTTTCATAATGTACACATAGAAAATACCTTGTGTAGTATCAAAAATATATTTCTTGAGTGATTATTGATTGATCCATGTGAAATTTCCTGCGGGCATGCAGTGTAGGTTTACCAGCAAATACAGATTAACTGTCAGTTAAATTCATCTCCAAATTTTTGGGCTCTGAAAACACAGTGTAAGCAAAAATTGAAAAATTAAAAGCAAGTTAAATCGGCTGCTTTCAATGTTCTTTGATTAACACAACTTACTGTTTCAAAAAAAAGATAAGGAAAATAAAAAATTGTACGATAAGTGTACGATACTCAATAATTTTTCGTCTATCCCAATGAGTACAGTTCTGTCAGGGGAGGGGTGGGGRTAAAATATTGCGTCGAATGTCAAAACAACTGTTTTGTGTTTGGAGCAATTTAAAACGCAAGAAAAGACAACATAATCTGACTCACATTATTGAATAAGGACTTTTGCGAGATAACAATGTCCAGCACAGCGTTCCAGCAACATACAAGAAGATGTTTAGCAACTAATGAACGTCACGTGGGAACGATCTCCAGGGTGAAAAATGGCATTGGAAAAACTACACTAAAAATAAAGAGAAAACTCATAATAAAACTTTCCAGGAACACCAAACCTACTTAAAATATATTTCTAGCTAGTTTTTTTGTGGTTTTTCACATTGTTTACCTTTCAACCAGTGGTATTTCCGTCTCATTCAAATTTTTAGACATCCGCCATGTTGGTCTTGTTATGACAATGGCATGGCATCATGGGAAGAMGCGATGGACCTGAACACAGGGAGCCCATCCTCCAAACATTCAGAGCGTTAAAGAAAAACTTAAACATTTTACTCTATTAGAAATTACATTTATAGAAATAGCTAAAGAAATTGTCATTTTTCTATGACCAAGAGGACTCTAGATGCGCTACACTATGTTGTCCTTTGGCTTCTATGCAAAGCAACTTAACTTTGAACGGATTGAGTTGGGCTAGTAAAATTTTGTTCGACGGACCGCCTCAAAAAGCCCAGTTGCGGAAGACGCAGATAAGCGAAAAGCGCTCCATGWAATAATCGGTGTTAAGCATGCGCAAATCAAGATCTGGAAGTAGACCGTCAGGGCAGTGAGATGGTATCGTGATTGATAGTTTATAAGCATTCCCWAAAGTCAAATGTCAAAGACATGGCGGTCAAGGTGAGTTAACAATATGGCGGCGATACCGTAACGTGCAATCAACGAAYATGTACTTGAAGCGAAGCTGATAACTATACCTACCACAAGCGTGCGCTCTCATCCCAAGCACATCGAGGTTAATCCCAGATCCAATATTGTATTCGCACAAGGTGCGCGCACTACCTTATGGTATTTTTCAACTGCATAAGAAGTCATCACTCTTTGCGCACYGACTGTGACTGAACTGCATTATATGGCTATCTAAATGCGCGGGCAATATCTATATGTGCGCTCCCCAACTCAATGAATATCACGCAGCAATTCATTACTTAACTTTTTAAGGCTAGTTTGCCAACGATGCGCAMGTCAGTGGCTAGTTAAAAACAAAACAAAAATGCCTTCTTCCTCATTGTAATGTATAACACGTGCTGTGCCGTGCCGTTCCGTAAATCCGTTAAGATACCCCAAGCTACAATAGCATGTCTTAATACAGGGACGTTGGCAAAGGGGCTGTCAAGCCTTCAACGATAATGGTTGTAACCCCCTTTACAAATTAACTTCTCGTCTTTCATTTGTGGCACAAAATTTTCTACTTTCCAAAAAACAATAATCTGACAAATACATGTAAATAAAATATTTATTATTTGGTAATATTGCAGCCAAGTTGACTTTGAATTAATACATCCCCCTGTGACAGGTACTCAATATGAACTACATGACTGTGTAGCTATAAATTAATATTTCTTTAAGAAATCAAGCTACAAGTATAACAGGAAAGTGCATTAAACATGTATATGATCTAGATATATAGAAGATATTACATGGGCACGAGGAGATACAAATTTTATCTTCGAGTGTTCAATTGATATCTCACRAGTGAGCGCAGCCAACGAGTGAGATATCTTTTCATACAGAATAATTATACATATAGCATTATAAACGTCTGATACTGTAATTCAGTTAGCGACAGCATAATAATGCATTCTTCAGCTGTCTTTGTTCTTGGAACATATTGTAAATATATAGTATATGCTGTGAGAAGTGCTCAAAATAAAAWAAAATTCTCGCTAATTATTGATCAGCGTGGCTTGATTCACTGTCAGATGAGGATGACGAAGAGTCCTCCATTTCTTCTCTAGCCGTTGATGTCCTGCGCCTGCGAACAATAGTTCCTGCTAATGCTTGTTTAAGCTTTTGTYGGTATATTTCCTTTACACGCATCCAGACAGGGAATGTATCCGCCTAAAAACACCAAACAAATGAATCAGGATTTTTGCTTCCAACAAACAAACATATTTTTGAACATATTTTTACTTTACATTTACTCTCTAAAAAAATTTATRATATTCTTTTGTATTCATTTTTTATTGCTTCTTGGAAAACAACTGGTTCTGACAAACAAAAGRKGTGCAAGGGATTATGGTAGTTGTAGTACAATAAAGCATCAGATAACTCCAGTATCCAACTCACAACTCAGTGTATCAAACATTGTGTTTGTTCTGCTATCTTGGARCAACAACAACACAGGAACTCTGTGGGCATTGAAAAATTTTAAAACAGGGATTCCTAATACACTACACATTTTTATGCTCTAATGTAATGGCTAGTTGCTTATGAAATTTACCTGGTCAAGCTTTAACAAAAATGGTAGCAGTTTAAGAGCATATTTGTCACTGCTGTCTCTTGGCAGTAATGATGGCAGATGGTCAATGGCTATGATATCCATTWCCTTGCTGCAGTGACTAAAACATAACAAAAACGTTTTTTATATAGAATTGCGTTGTTCCAGAAAATTTCCATACCCCAACAAATAGAGGAATTTGAAATTCCTTAGGGGGGGGGGGGTCAGAAAGAATAAAATACAGAGTTTGTATGGAAGAAAATTGGAATTTCTGGGGGGGAGGGGGAGGAGAAGAAGAATCTATAAAATAAGGAACATGCAGAAAGAAACAGGGAAAAAAAGAAAAAAATTGCCAGTGCCTTGGCTCTAACTTAACTATTAGCAAAGAACTGATTACTCAACTGGCCTTTATCACATGGCAGCTATGTTTTTCTCATGACAAAAACCCGTTTAACCTAATATTTATATTCTCAAGTACTTGAATATGAGGCTGTATGATGCCAAACATATTGTCCAAATCAATATGGCTGCTGAATGAAAAAGGCCCATGACAAAAATAATCATCTTGACATTTGGCTTAGCTTAACCATTTACTGTTTTTTTTTTAACTGTAAGTTAATAGTGTTTGTTATTTGTCAATAATTTACCTCAAAGCAATATGATGAACTGGATCACTAAATGTTGTTACAGTWTCGTACAAAGGAATTGGATTGTCAGGACTCGTACAGTCACAGCTCACATCAGAAATGACTGTCAAGTTCCTAAGGAAAAGGAAGAAAAATGTAAGCAAACTGGTAATAACAGTAACAAATGTTTGGGCAATTGTATACTGGTCAGTCATTTCGGAAAAAAAAACGACTCAAGCCTGGATAAACAGGGACTCTGGGTAAAAGTCAGTTGCAGAAGCAGTTGCCTGMATAATTTTATCTGATTAATTATGCCTTTGGTTTACAGGATGAATCTTCGTAGGCAAGCAGGAAGTGTTAGCAGAAGCAATGAATATTTAGTGATTTTTACTCATATTCCTTTCAGTCCAGTCATGTAGTCTTAARCAGGTCCAAGACAACATTTTTTTGGATTAACAGTATTTTAAGACCAGCTCAGTAGTGACGTGTTGATTCAGCCAATACATGGCCACATGTTCGGACTCAATGCATACTGTATAACGAAAGAGAGGTGGAAAGTTTGAAGAATATCTGCACAATGGCAGAATGCACATTAAAAATTAACATAATACTGATTTACCTGTTATCTGTTAGTAGCATATCTTTAGTTAGAAATGGTGGGATTTTCTGGAAGAAAAAATCCAATAGGATAAATTACTCAACCATAAAGTCACAATGTTAAAAAAATACGTTCAATGGGTATATCATTCTAGCAGCTGAGCACTGACAATGGTTCA